CGAGCGAGTGTGTTTTGCAGTTGTGTCTTGGTGCTCGAGCGGGCATATTTGCGCTCGAGCGGGTTCAGTTTTTTGTGCTTGACGCTCGAGCGTCCTATTCTCCGCTCGAGCGGGATAGTCGTATATCAGATGGCAGCTAGGTGATTTTAAATCACTTGTTACACACACTCTCTCTCTCTCTCGTACTTTTCAAAAACTCCATTGGAGAGCTTCTCACTCTAAAACTCCAACTTCTCTCTAGGGATTGATCTAGTTAAAGTGACCTCCTACCCTTGGGCCTTTACAAATAGTGTGGAGCTTGGCTTGGGCTTCCTATCAATCCGAAAATCTTGGGGTTTGGTGCATTTCGAATTTCTTTATCTCCTCCATTGGGTTTCATCTTTTAAGGTAGGGATTCCTACTCATCTTTATGAGCTTTAACCTAAATGTTGAGCCTTTTGTCTAAATGGTTTGATTTGGGAAGTTAGGGTTTGTGATGTGTTGTATTGAAAAAGAGGGGTTTTGTCCTTTTGACTCATATATATATATATTTTGGGTCTTAAAAAGAGATTGTTGATGTTGTTGTTAATATTTGGACCTTCGGGTCAATATTGAGAAAAAGGGAAAAAATGCCATGTTTGGGTATATTTGGGTCATTAATGTAATTAATGACAATTGTTATGGAAACATGAAATTGTGTTGGAAATAATGAAATTGGCTCATTATGGGATAGAATGGTGGAGTTGGATTTATTAATCGCTCACTTTGAAAATGTTGAAACTATTTATCTGTTGGATGTAATTATTATCTGTTTAGAAATAATTGCTTTGGGCTATCGGTGGAGGATAGTCTTGATTGTTGTAGACAATGCATGATGATTAGGCGAATTAAAACTAATCGGTTGAATATGTCATTGAATATGACGGTTGGAATAATACATCAAATAAGTGTATTGATTGATTATGTATATGATAATTGTTTATATACATTGTTTTTTTGTGGGAGGAGATAGTGGATGTACTCCACAGTTTGGGAGGAGATAGGGCATGGACTCCTAAACCGGATATTGTTTGGGAGGAGATAGGGGATGGACTCCATTGATACAGCAATTATGTGTATCTATTGTGAAGTATGGAAGTGTTTTTATGTGGCATTTATACAGCAAATATGTGTATCTGTTGTGAAGTATGGAAGTGTTTTGTTATGAGTTGTTATCTCATTTAAAAAGAAAGTGATTTCGTATGAGTCGTAGTCTCATTAAACGGTTGGCCAGGTTCTTAGCCATGTTATGAATTGAAAATTTGATAAGTAAAGGAAAGTGGAATGAAATATGGACATATCTGTCATGGAATTGGATTGTGTTGTACGTTGGTTTGTATG